GAACCACACCACCACGTTGCCGCTCCGTCACCTGAAGTCCTACCTGCACCCTCGAAGTTTTCTACCAGAACACCATCACCGCCGACTCGCAAACAGAAAGCCAAATCAGCTCCCAAAGCGCCTGCCAAACGTCGTCGCCGACTTGACCAATCCCGATCCCGCTCCTCGAGCCCACTGTCACTCTGGACTTCCGAAGACAAACAGAAACTACGCACTTTGAAGGCGGACGAGAAGTCTCGATTTTCATGGCGGGTGATCTCGACCAAGATGGGCAAGTCCGAGGAAGATGTTCGCTCTATGTGGAATAAGATTAAAGACAAACTTGGCTGACCAACGACATATGCGAACCAAGAAAAGCTGGCCTGCGGCACTGTATTATAGCTTCACCACCCAATTTTATTCGTCTTTAGAGTTTTTTCGTTCTTACATTTTTTGATCTTCACAAACTCGGGCATTGTTGCTCCATTGAAACGTTGACATGTCATATCATACAACCCGCCAGCCATTTACTATGTCTCTCCGCATTCACCTGGATCGCTATTGCCAACTGCGAGCTATGTCCCACGAGAGGATCTCCCCTACACGACGATCACGCTCTCCAACAAGGGCACCGTCCTCCGCTATGGGGTCTTCATTATCTCAGCACCCACCCAACCGGACTCCGCCTTCGACACCCCATCGACCGGTTATTTTCCAATTGGACCTGAAGCCGATGCAGCAACTTGCCGTCCGCAACCCATACTACAACATCCTGGCCCCCAAGGTCGCGGGCAACCTCTCCACGGCCGCCTATGACAGCCTGTTCCAGACGTTCAAGGTGATCTACCCGGATTATGCTCGCAGTCATTTCGTTTCAGACCTCAAAACCGTGGTCACCGACACGCTGTTACAACGATGGTCGATACACCTACCAGCGACAGATTTCTACATGATGATTGACACCGATCAAGGAGCTCAGATGTTGGACGACCTCCCTCATTCTCTCCTGGACGTTTTGAACTGGTTCTACCCGACATGGAAAACTCATCAACATCTCGATGCTTTCACGACCCGTGAGTGTTCACCTTTGTTGCTGACACCTCATCCAGATCCACAGGACACAGGCTTCGCTGTCCATGTTCAAGTGATTCCCCGCGGGCATCCATTCGTCACGGCCACCAGATACACTAAAGCGGCCGAGTGATTAGCCTTTGAGATAGATCCTGGAGACGCTCACGTCTATGAGGAAAGGAAAAGCACTCGTCATGATGTCCTCTACCCCGGTTTTGGGTTTCTTTTGTCTCCCTTGCTTCTCATCTTTCCTTATCATGATGTTCGTTGTTCGTTTTTCCATCATTGACCTTTCCCCACGCCTTTTTGGCTTCAGTTCAGTGTGTCTCGATATCATATTATTGCTACCGTACATGACGACCTCCAACACGGATGATACTGCTCGATTGGTCTCACACCGTTCCTCACCTACATCTGTACATGGCCTAGTCCCACACCTGCCACCTGATGATCCTACTTCGGCATCGTATATTCCCAGAGCAGCGCGAATGATCCCAACCTCTACAACCGTCCATTCCGTCTTCATCAAGAAGCTGAGCTATCCTTTGTCTACTCGTCCTGATGAACTTTGGATCGTGGAAAGGACACTTGATGGTATTGAAACGTGGAAGCCAGTGGAAACATTTCTGGAGAACATGCACCTCACCAACGATCGTGCTACCCTACGTACCACGGCTAACCATTGGCGCCGATACTATGACGTACCAATCCAATCATCCTCCTCCCCTACGGCAACTCCTGTTCCTGTTCTACCACACCCTGAACATTCCAACGTCTATGTCTCCCAACCGTACGAAGCGATACCGGACCAACTCCATATTTTACAGTCATGCTGGGGACGTTCTGCCCAACACCACTCTCAAGGAACCACCACCTCTTTATCTTGGCCACCATGGCGGTCTACACCACCTTCTTCACCATCGGCAACATTACACCGGACCTTACATCTCAATCGCCCTACCATCCCTCCTCAACAAGTACATGGCCTACTGGATGCGAACGATACTGGCCCGATGGACATGTCTGACTCCAGTGTGTAATACACCACATTATTTGGCGGCATTGAAAAAAGAACAGTGACTACACGTCGATTTGTGACTACTCACTAGGTACACCGTTTCCATCCAATTTTCAACTTTTGGGCTTTACCCCTTGGTCATTATCACTCTTTGTTGCAGCTTGGGCTTTCCGCTTTATACTCGAAACTCGTCACTCGACGCCATGGCTCATACTTCTCGGCCCCATCCATATCGAGCTACATCCACTGTTGAGACACCACTGGGTACCCGAAATGTTGGTTGGCTTGCTGGACCTCGAGGCCTTCCTGGTCACGTGAACCCTCCTCCAAACCGACCTGTTCTTATTTTGATTGACTACTCTCCCTTACAGGAACTGACTCATCGCAGCGAACCTGATCGTGAACACTACATGGCTTTGGCTAGTTCAAATTTCAAAAATGTTAGTGGCTACGAACTTGAAGCTCTGTTTACCTGGTCACGTCAGATGCAACCAGTTGAAGCAGGCCTCCTTCCCACTGGAGAACTACGTTTCTGTATTTCAAAAAGATTGAGGACCCAATGGGACATCCAACTTGACCCTTCGAATTTGGAGTTTCGCTATTGCGACCTGGAAGGTGATACATTCCAAGTCCCCAATGATATGACGATCATGCAGCTTTTGGAGGAATACCGACCCGAATGGCGACTCCGACAGTACAACTACATCGAATCTTCTTTGCTCATCCCGGGTACCTCACAGCCTTTCGTGCTACGTCTGCGATGCCACAAAGTTAGCCCCGGTGTGATCCTGCCCTGATACGCTCACTGGCCAAAAAAGACCATGCTCGAGGGTTTTTCGTTACACCTATGACATTTTATCAACACGAAGGATTCTTTGATTTCCCCTTTGTTAGGCTTTGAGCTTTGTCTTTTCCGTGGACCTTGAACAACTTGATTGATGACTGGACTTCACTTTTTTCATTATTATCATTATTGTTATTCTCTGGCTTGGCTTATGTTCGCATTGTCGTGATGCCTCAGCCTTTGTCGCACCATTTCACGCATTTCTGATCGTTTCACCCATGGAGCATAAACGAGACGCTACCGTGGCGGGCTTGGCTTGGCCTTCGAATCCCAACCGTGGACTCGCTCCCACCAACCCAGATCAAGCACCAGACGCCCAGGCTTCTGCACTATGTCATTCTGACCTTCCTGACCCTACTACCGGGACCCCTTCGGACCCTTTGGCAGCTGACAGTACAACTACCGACATTGGAACTACGGCCCATTCTGATACGTATTCAGGCTTCGCACCTCCTGATGTCCCTTTTCCGACGGAGCAAAGTCCTGCATACCACTACCTCCATCGTGCTCACTTCTCTTCCCGCGTGGTTCACCAGATCCAATTCAAGATCATTACCCACTCCAACAATACCAGGGAGTTATTCATTGAAGAGATCCCCATGTCAGGGCTCTCCAAATGTCGTGACCCCGAGCACTACTTTTACGGTCTTTCGGGCAACTGGGAGTGGTCACTGCGCACAGCAGATTATTGGCGACATCATTTTGAGATTCCTCTAGTACATGGACATCATCCTTTTCACAATGTTCCCATTGAGACCACGGCACCTACGGAGGCAACCCGCTTTACTCCGAAGATCCAGGACCTGGCCCAACAACTTTCAATCACTTTGAGGGCTGCTATGGCATCTGGGGAAATCAACGACACGTGGAGGATGCTTGAAGACATGAGCTTCCGTGACGCGATCCAAACACTTCAAGCTGAGGTGACCCTCCCTTCTGAGTGACTGAACGCGGCTCCGTACATTAGCACTGGAAAGTCTTTTGTATTTGGATAATTTTGCCGACATTTGCAGCGATAGTCTTCCAAAAATCAAACCCCGCTACGTGCGGGGTGTGTGTGTGTGTAACATCTGAACAGATGTAAAACTTCTTTGATTCTAATCTTTTCACTTTGGCAGGGGACCTTTTCACATTTGCAGGGGGGCTGGAGCCGATTTGCCTATCCAGTCCAACGAAGCTATGGCATTTCGGTGGATGAGTGGTCTGATCAACCACTTGTACCTGCAGAACTCAGTTTGAACTGTTGAACAAGCTGTCATGTTGCTGCACTGTTGTCGCAATCTGGAATCAAATTTGGTCATTTACGGTTACTTAAACTGCATCAGAACCTTCCTCAGATTTTCGCCGAAACCATGTCGCCGACAGTATTATGATTTTTTTGACATATTTTCGCCGAGATCATGTCGCCGATGAACTTTGGGTCATTTTGGGAAACAATCGCCGAAACATTATTTTGGATTCTCAACATGCTGGTCAAAACTTTATGGACTCTGGTTAAAACTACGTTTGACAATATTGGATGCCCTACATCGTTTTCGAGAAGTACCTCATGTGGCTCCTTTATTAATCTAACGATCTAGGCTGGTTTGCATGTTTCAGGATTCAGTTCCTGCCGGATCATATAATGATCCATTCTTGTCTAGTGTGTGTATGTGTGGATGTGTTAAAATTATATTTTATTTGGGTATTAGACTACAGAAATTTAATGAATATTGAACCATCCATTTGTATCCATTTGTATTGCGAATTCTGACACCATGAATGCATGGAACACATCGCAATTCGCAGCGATGCCCAGAATTGGTTTAGAACATCGACAGGAACATCGTGCACATGGGGGTCAAAATTCAGCTATTTATTAAAGTTTTGGTTATGATGTTTGAATCCAATAAATGGTATATCAAATAAATGGCATATCCCATGTTATCACTGGTGTTTTATAGCATTTTATAGCATTTTTTTGGGGTTTCAACAACTACCATTTGGTTATTTAACATAGCCATGGAAAATCACCATTTCTAGTAGGTAAACTATGTATAAATGGGCCATTTTCCATGGCTATGTTAAATAACCAGAGGGTACCAAAAGGTGGTGGTGTTGGCGAGAACTTGAACGTGGGCTTCTTTGCCACCAGACCTGACCGGCGCTTGTTGGAAGCTGCACTGATCTTCGCCCGCCGCAACAACTTCAGCCGGGAGGATGGCTGGGGCAATTCTGGATGGAAGCCACGAGGCTATTACTACGTGGGAGGAGAAGTTGGAGAAAAGTAAAATAACATTCGAGACTATCATTTAAGGCCAATTGAACGTTTTTTTTTCTCCATATTGGATGATATATTTCAAGATCATATCTGGATCATATATCTCCATACATGGAAATATGATATATATATATATGGATCATATCACATTGGATCATATATTATTATATTTCCAGATATGGATCATATCATATTTTAAGATCCAGGGACTCAGCTTACCGCCGTCCCTGGAGGAGAATGTGGTCAGGGCTTCTTTTACAGCCTCTACTACTCCAGGACTGGAAGGCGTCACTTTTCAATGGGAAAAATGGACAAACGGCAAGCCTATGACTTGATCCACTGGGATCCCACCATGTCAGGGATCAATGATTGATCAATGGATTCAGGTTTAAAAACCGCAGCTATCCGGTAGATTTTCCCTTCATTCATTGATCATTCTTGATCATTCAACAGGTGACTAGGCACGCGCGCCCAGTTAGGAGCGAAGCCGCCGAGAAAGCATTGGAGGCTGCGGGTATTTGGCAGTACCTTGGTCCATCCAGTGACCCAGTGGAGGGAGGGAGCTGGAGCTGGAGCTATGGTTGTATCCATATGAAACTGGGTGCCAAGTACGAACAGAGCTTCTGGAAGACTTCAGGTTTGACACCCAGTTTTTCCGCCAAAAAAACATGCAACGCTTGTTTTTTCTCCAAGTGAATCCATCCCTGGGCCGTGGATGGACCCCAGGAATGGCGTTTTCGAGCCAGCCCAGCTGGATCGGTGCCTCTGGAACTACCAGACCAGCTGGGGCTGCCGCAAGGACTTCGATTGTGAACGCGTGCGGGTGCACCACAAGCCGACCAAGGAACTGGTAGTGACTGGTAGTTTGGTATGGTGGGGCAGGGGGTAGAAGGTATTAGAAAGAGTGCGGGTAACATGTAGGATGTTTCGGTGATATAATGAGAAATATGGAAAAGCACCCAGCCCATCGTTTCATCCGACCATTGGATGAGAGAACCTGACCTGACGATTGCAGGGATATTCGTAACCACAAGTAGTGTTGGAAGGGTTTTATTGTAGTGCCGAGGCTTGGACAACATGTTAGCCCAGGACTTCTGATGGTTTATCAATAATAGGGAAGGGGCACCAATATTAACAGCAATCTATCGGCACTTTGGGGGCACACCCCCCAATGCTCAGGGTTTGTCAACCTTGTCTTCCCAGGAGCGGGGGAGCGACAGGAATGAATGCGAGAAGCTTCGCTTTCGTGAGCAACGAAGGAAGCAGGCGCAAGAACAGCGGCTGCAGCGCATCAGACGCTTAATTGCACAATATGAGTTTGTCTGCAAGTGGGATACCCCCAAAGATGGATGGGTACTGTGGTATATAACTATATTGACACCATACTCAAATAGCAATATAATGGGGTATCCCCATTTTCGGTCACATTCATATTGCAAGAATAAACACGGGCCAAAAAGCCCAGATGAGTTAACAATGGACCGGACAGCTGTGCGTGGTGAGGCATTTGCAACACATTCCAGCTGTAAAGGATGACCAAGTTGATAGATAAGTTGGCTTAATGGGATTTTAATCGCTGATTGTTGATAGATAAGTTGGCTTAATGGGATTTTAATCGCTGATTGTTGATAGATAAGTTGGCTTAATGGGATTTTAATCGCTGATTGTTGATAGCTAAGTTGACTTAATGGGATTTTAATCGCTGATTGTTGATAGCTAAGTTGACTTAATGGGATTTTAATCGCTGATTGTTGATAGCTAAGTTGACTTAATGGGATTTTAATCGCTGATTGTTGATAGCTAAGTTGACTTAATGGGATTTTAATCGCTGATTGTTGATAGCTAAGTTGACTTAATGGGATTTTAATCGCTGATTGTTGATAGCTAAGTTGACTTAATGGGATTTTAATCGCTGATTGTTGATAGCTAAGTTGACTTAATGGGATTTTAATCGCTGATTGTTGATAGCTAAGTTGACTTAATGGGATTTTAATCACTGATTGTTGATAGCTAAGTTGACCTAATGGGATTTTAATCGCTGATGGTTGATAGCTAAGTTGACTTAATGGGATTTTAATCGCTGATTGTTGATAGCTAAGTTGACTTAATGGGATTTTAATCGCTGATTGTTGATAGCTAAGTTGGCTTAATGGGATTTTAATCGCTGATTGTTGATAGATAAGTTGACTTAATGGGAATTTAATCGCTGATTGTTGATAGCTAAGTTGACTTAATGGGATTTTAATTGCTGATTGTTGATAGCTAAGTTGACTTAATGGGATTTTAATCGCTGATTGTTGATAGCTAAGTTGGCTTAATGGGATTTTAATCGCTGATTGTTGATAGATAAGTTGACTTAATGGGAATTTAATCGCTGATTGTTGATAGATAAGTTGACTTAATGGGAATTTAATCGCTGATTGTTGATAGCTAAGTTTGGGAGGTGCTGAAATTCCCCACTGTATATACTGTAATGTTGCGGGGAGATTTCGGATGTGTTCCGTCCGTCACTTGCTGTTGACAATTGCACGGAGGAAATATGTCAGCTCAAGAAATTCCTGCTGCCAAAGAAGGGCTGCTTCTGCGTTGCTTGGCACTGGATCATGCTGCATGACAAGCCTTGAACTTGCTGTTCAAGTTGCATTGAGAATGTGTTTGAATTGGATTTGGCAGAATTTGACAGGTGAGCCAGGTGTCATTGAACATACCATACTGTATATACATACACTATACATTTAATTATATGAATTATATACTTATATATATATGATATATATATAAATTACATATATACGTATATTATACATATATTATACGTATATCACCGTATATCATAATACATTGAACTCAACATAGGTCACCTCAATGGACTGTGTCTGCGACCTGGAAATGGCTTACTGCAGCTGGCGGACTGTGGGGACTTCAACGTACGGCTGGTGGAAGCGGACGCAATGGAGGAGGCTGCGGCTGGGCGGGGGCTGGGAAATGGTACTTGAGATACATCGGGATATATATATATATATATTTATTCGTTTATTCATTTATGTATTTGTTCGTTTATATATATATATATGTATACATATTTATTTAGTTACTTACATAACTTATATTTAGAAATGAATGGAAATTCTGGGGAGAAGAGTTGAATGTTGGCAGTTCTGTTCCAAACATGTCCGATTTTGCCAAGGGTGAGGTCTTCTTGGGTGAGTTTGTTCTGAAGCTCGGTGACCAGTGTGCTGCTCCATCTGCTGAGATGGCGGAACCTCAACTGCTCTTGGCACCGTGCCATCGGATTCATCGACACCTGCAGATCTTTCGGGTCTTGAGGGCGACTGGAAATTCGGAGATGTTCATCTTGCAGCACAAAGCTTCAAGAAACTTGGGTGAAGGTTTCAACAGCTTTGCGGGAAAGATGTCTTTTTACATTTTTTTGATTCCATATAAGCTGAAACTGCGTTGGGCAGGACCCATCTGAGGCAAATGTATACATCCCAACGGGGGCAAAGAGAAACCAGAAGCGGAAACGCCTCTCTTGTTGCACCACCAGTGCGATAGATCTCGAAGGGCCTTGATGTTCCAAGCCAAAGACAACATGAGCGCAGTTGAAACTTGATCATCGTCCACCTGACTTGGGTAGCTCGCGGACAACCTGGACAACCCGGACAACCCGGACAACCACAAATCCGGCGGCAACGTAGAGAACTTGGTGGTCGTCGTTATGAACCTCCAGGCCTTCGTCCATGGTCCCCACGGGGGTTTGCGATATCGGCTGGACCTCGTACACACGCGCCGTTCACATCATCCGTTTACCCGTTTACATCACATTTGTGCCATGTTCTGAGGTTCTGGTGCTTTAGTCTTTCTGACCCATCTGACACCAACTGACAGTAGATGCTGCAGAAAAGAGGCCGAACTGCTTCTGTGCGGGTTGATTGAAGAAGTGACTGGGATCCGTACATATAGCTACAGCTACATCTAAGATGATTTGATCATATATGCACATCTCGATCCATATGGCATGTCCTGCTATGTTGAATGAATGAACCATTCCAAATATTGGAGTGCGAAGCGGGCCAAAATCTGGACTTTCCAAGATTCCTCGCGATCCACTTTCCTTTAACATAAACAGATCATAACAGACCCACGTTGCAGCTCTAAATCCAATTGCCAATATACTCTCGATTCAGGAGACACTTACCCTTGTCGCTGACCAGCAGGAGAAGATAATTTTTTCCACCATCAATCTCTTTTTTTACCCATGAAATTGCTGGTTTGATGGGGCCATGGGGGCAGAAATTCGAGATCTAATTTTCAACCATTACAATACCATAACCATCCATAACCTCCTACCCAACTAACAGTAACTAATGGACTCTGTCAGCTATGGGGGTTGGAGGGCTGTTGTCATTTCCAGGTCCAACTACGGCGCTTCGTTCGAGACTTGGAGAACTAATTTGATGTATATAGTCAACACCCAAAAAAGATATATAGATTCTTGAAAAACACAATAACATAGTGATAAATCGTTTTTGTATATTTTGGGGGTTACTATGTTGTCGTATCTCGCAACCTACCTATATGATATTCAGCTCTTAAACAGCGTTGAACGCCCTCGCAATTTGGATGACTCTCCGTATCAACAAGAACACGCTCGATGTTGCCTCCTCCTTCAAGAAGGGCACGCCACATGGAAGTCTGAAAAAGAACGCCTTTCATGCCTATTGCTTGGGGGAATGCTATGTTTGTGGAACCTGGCATGGGTTTGACCAGAAAGGGGATATCCCAATTCAACCATAGACTTCCGCATTTTCTCCATAGTTCCTACTCATGTACAGATTGCTTTTTACTGTAAGAGGAAACCATGGTCATCAGCGCCGTTTTTAATCTGTGGCTTTCCTCCAGATTTTTCCACCAGTTGTGGGTTTTGCATGGTTTTGTCAGTAAAATGGCCATATCTTGGGGTGTAAATCCACTACACAGCTGCGTCGAGGTTGTAGGGGCTATCAGCAGCGCATTTCAGACCGCTTCCCAGGCGCCCCTTGCGCTTAGATACGACCACGGTAGCATTGGTTCGTGGGAAAAATGACCGGGAACCCCATTTTTCGAGATATTTCGCATGTTTCGGCCTTTTAAAAACATCAATCCACAATCTCCGATCGGTCAAGAGCTATCATGTGTTGGTATACCTGGTATGCTTTGATCACCGGAGGCGGCCGAGTCATCTATGGCCAAGCGTGCTGCGGAACACTTGGCTCGTCCAGTTCCAAGCGTTTGCCATTTGGCGTCAGCTGCTTTGGCGTCCAAGGGGTTTGACCGTTTGACCTATGATTTTTGCCTAGGTGCTGCTGCTGAACATGCCCGGGAGCCCGAGAGCAGATGATGCAGCCCCATGGGAAATCTATATATAATGGAGCCCCATCGCTTCGGAAGATGATATGCTTCAGCCATTATGATTCCGTGTGGCCATTTAAAAAAAGATGCCCATGATTCCATTCCTGGAAACCTTGTTCTGCTCTGCCAGGTCAGCACTGGTTCTGCCTGACCACGGAGGCTTAAGAAACAACATGATGCAAGCCATGCAAGTTGCCAAAGAATTTGCATGACCCAGCTGGAAACATGAGTCACTGAGAGCGAACCCACGCCATGCATCTTGGAAGGATGTTAGCTGACCATAGAACGAACGTAATTGAAGTAACATGTTGCGATGAAGAGGTGAACGCGATTTTTTAGGATTACATGTGTCCACAGCACGATTTAGTTTTATTTATATACTCATTTTAGATCATTTTGGTACTTTGGTGGATGCCTGTGGCGACATGCTATGGCGGGTCCACTGCGGAAAAAGCGGAAGGCAGCCACTGAAGGGTTCTCAACTGCAAGGCCTGCTGTGGGGAGTGATCATGGCGCAGCTGATGGAAAAAACCCAACATCCCGGAGTTGTCCATCCCTTTAAATCTGCCACCTCAGTTCTTCCATGTTCTTCCTGCACCTGGTGTTTCAAAGCTTTTCATCAAATCAGGAGTTCAAATCTGGCAGAGGTTCCGACAGTTTCATCAAACTATTTCCACTAGTTTCCCCCCCAAAAAAAGAGTCCTCAGCCAGGCTCCCTGACCAGCTCTCAGATGATGAGATCTCCGACGTCTCCGACACGCCGCGGAAGGCGCCGCCTGCGCCGGCGCCGCCTTCCGCGGCGGCTGAGCCGCCCATGGCGGTGCCCTCGGTGCAGGGCTTTGCACGGTGGAACCTGGAGCGATGCCCTGAGGTGTTGGAGGCGGGGCTGTGGAAAAGTACCAAAAAGAGATGCTGAAAAGGCTATAGGCTATAGATATCTATAGATACTACAGATGTATCACCAATTTATATAATTTAGTCGGATTCTTTACCTTTCTACATGTATATATATATATGTATATAGACATCAATTGTGATGCACAAAGTAGCTGTTATCGGAGATAAGGAATAGATGGTGTGGGGTGTGGTGAAGTCATCAAATCCAAGGGGTGGAATGGGCCGTTTCACCCTCGTATCCAACAGTTTGCATCTGAACATATCTGAAAAAATTGTAGAATGGTCTATAATTATATGAGGTGAACTCCTGACTGCCAATTTTGCGGGTTGTTTGGTGGCCCTGTTCTCAAGAGTTTCCGAAGACTTGCCGAGTAATTTTTTTGGATCCAAATTTTGGTTTGACCCCCAGGCGATCAGGGAGAATGGCAGAAAATGGGCACGTAACTCGGCTGGGTAGGGGGGCTGGCAAGTTTTTTTCGTGGTTTCACCTGCCCAAATCCCCAAGGGGGCTGCCTTCATGACACTTCCATGTCACTGTTAGAAGCTGCGAGGATCTATGACTCGCGTACCTTAGAACATCTTACTTGGCTCAGCATGCGTTTGTAACTGGTGAATAGCCCATAATGCCATGACTGGTGATAGCACAATATGGATATTTCATATATCCCTGAGTCAACTCTTATAATTATCTCATAGGTCACTGGTGATATCCCAATATATATATATAATTATATATAATATATACATGTATGTATATAATGCACATCACACATATCAAATATCACTACCTGGCATGGACACAAGGATCCCTCGTCGCTCCTGACGGACCTCCAAGCTGAGGTCCCCTGCGAGTCTTCTCCATGTACACCGGCTGGGGCACAGCGGAGATGGTAACCCATGCCGTGGGCCGAGAGCTACAGCGCCTGGGGATCGACATGGAGTCGCTTGGGCCAAGAGAAGATGGTAGGAAGTCCAGATGTTCAACATGTTAAAAGGGGAAAGGCCATCAGTATTGAAGAGAAACTATTTTGGCATGTTTTGTTCCATCAAACATGGAGGTCGGGGGTCCTATAAAACTGTCATTCAACACATGGCAAATTCCGTGATTGCAGGAATTGCAGCACATGTGGTAAGCAAGAGTGGACTAATACTTGACAAGCTTGACAAGGTGCAAACAGATGCCATGATGCATCATGATGCCTGGGTTAAAACCGAAGGTTTCTGCTGAGTTTCTGTGAGCGCAGGTTTGAAGTGGCATGGATCTGCGAATCCAACCGGGAGAAGTGCAAATATTTGGCCTCCGCCTTTCAGAATCTCGCCTGGCAATCGCGATTTGTGTTGTGCAGAGCGCAGCCCTCCCCAGATCCTTTCAGAAGGATGGCCCAGATCTCTATGTTTTGGCCGATTATTTTCTTATAGCATCTAAAGTCCAAGCCATTCTTAAGTTCAACATGTATATAAAGCGGAAGCCGCAATGTCTACTAACATCTAAAACGTGATTTGGATGGATCAGGACGATCGGAATGGTCACCTCCGCTACATCCCAGGGACGTTGGCTACATCTTCACAGATGCCTCAGAAGTGGCTGATGGCTATGCGCATGATTATCGCACAGGTGCCATGGGGAAGCTAGTGGCCTGGAGGGATTGCTGGTTGCGGCAGCGGAAAAAAGTCATAAACATACAGTATATTATATAGGTTGAGGTCACATAGGCTTTGGCGGACGATGCTGAAATTTGAATTTCCTATCTTATGAGGCATACTTTTTGGATCAGAAATGTATCAACAGGCACAAACATACTTTCATCCAACTTTTCGTTTCCCAAAAAGTGTCGCAGTCAAACAGCCAGGCCTTTGAGTGCATGTTGCCCACCAGATTTAACTGTCAGTACAAATTCACGACGCAAAATTCCACTTGACAAGATACGTGAAAAAAAGGTGACTCACTATTGAAAACGACCCATTTATAGTTGGTTTACCTATTGATGGTGATTTTCCATATGTTCTGTTAGTTTACCACAGGGCATTCTGCCAAACATTCCCGTCCCGCTGGCACAGGCCAAAAGTTTCTGGTACCAACAGACCTGGATTTGGGCTTCGTCGGCTACCCTTGTGTGGATTTGTCCAGCCTCAATGTTGGACAGGGGCAGTTCATGGATACCAGCACAGCCACTGGCAAAGGCGCTAGGGTGAAGGAACATGTATGAAAATGTCCTATAGATATATTATGTCAAAGGGAACTAAGCGATACCACATGTGTAATATGCGTGTGATGTGTACATGGGACGCCTTTATGGCTCAAGACCCCGCGAGTAAAAACAAGCTGCGCGTGCTGCCGTCTCATGGTGTGATAAGCCCGACTTCCATCACATCAGGGACTCCGAAAAGAAGATATCCAGAACAAGGATCTATTTGTTCACAGGTTATCAGCCGTAAGGGCTCACTTCTCCCGTCGGGAGAGGAGTACCTGCGTGCTGGTAGCCGGGCTGTCTGAGCAATTGATTGTGGACGCAAAGGACCAATCAGCTCGTCATCGCAAAGATGCAAGGCGGCAGCGGAGATTCGCGCAACACGCAGTTTACCTTCAATGAGAACACTGCTATGCCGGTCGAGGAG